CAAAACAGTCCTGAGCTGTCTACACTGGCCCTCTTGCGCAAGAGGGCTTTTTCCCGAACGGGAGCAGCATAGTATTTGCGCAAGAACACTGACAATCTTACAGGAGATCGTCAGTGCTCTTGCGCAAATTCAAGTGGTCAGTGTAGACAGCTGGCAAGTTTTCCGCAAAACCAGCTGCTTTTGCGGAAAAACTTGCCAGTCTAGACACACCCCTATGTTCTTGGCAGAGTTTCTCTATACCAGTGTTTCTTAAACTTTTGAAGACCGAGGAACAACAAACAATAATTTTTTTTAATGAGAAACACCAAGGATTTTTTTGTTGAGAAAAAGAAAAAATAGAGTTGGGGGGAAAGTTACTGAGAAAAAAAAAAAAAAGGTCACCTGCCCCTTTAAGGTGGTACACCTCCCACTGCCTCAAACACAGTTTTATGAACACTGCTCTATATCAATAGTCTCGACGCACTATTGTTTAACGTACTCCTGTCTTTCAAAGGTCAACCCCTCGGTTTTTCATATTTTATCATCTGCATTTCAAGCAACATTTCGCCAGAAAGGGGTCCCAGTAGCTTGACTTGCTTTCTCTGAGTCTTGATCTCCCCAGAGAGATGTCCCGTTTCTAGATTCGGTCTCTCTCCCTCCTTCCGCACTCCATCTAGTCTCTAATGAGGGTATTTCTGTGCTTCTCCTGGCGCAGGATCGGTGTGCTTCCATCCTTTGCTGTGGCTCCCATGGCCCCTGATGCCAGTGCTGGGTGCTTCCGGATGACAGTCCTCTGGGGGTTTCTGCTCAGCCTGATGTCGGACAGCGCTCTCTCTGGCATCCCGTGTCTGGCTAAACAGCAAAGTAAGGAGGAAGCCGAGTACCACGCCCATCCCTGATTTGGCGCTGATTTGAAAGTTTTCCCTGCGGGTGTTCCACCGTTGCTCTGACCTGGGGCCCCACCCCCTTTCCGTGAGGCTCCGCCCTTTCCTGAGGCCCCACCCCTTTTCCACTACTCCCCTAAGGCTCCGCCCCCTCCACCCTTCCACCTGGGACTTTGCTCTCACTCCCTCTTCCTACCCCTGTGCCATCCCTCTCCCCAAACCCCCCCAACCGGTCAGCGGTGGCTGCTTTTTGCAGTGGGGAGCTTCCACCCTGGGGCTGGAGCAGAATCAGCCCCTATAGTCC